CAGCAAGCTCCCACAAACAGCAATGGGAGAATAACTGGATAATGCACTTTGGTGATGTTGCTCGAGGACAGATATTGGCCAGGACACTGGGGAGAGCTGAAATATCCAGCCAAGCATGTAGGTAGATGCAGTTTCAGTTTAATCTCATCTGAAAGATGGTACCTCTGACATTGCTGTGCTGCCTCAGTACTGTGCTGGAGAGACAGCATTAATTTGCAAACTGAAGTGGAACTTGAAACCAGAGATCTATGACTCAGAGGCAAGGTTGCTACCAACTGAACCACAGCTTATGCATCCTACTGAAAATATCAAGATGTATAATTGTGTTGTCAAACAATGAGGCCGTAGAGAAAGTTCATTGTGACCCATTGGAGAAGAAGGAAGGGTTCCATTATATCTACACAATTACTGTTCATTTGCAGTGATAGTAGCACTACTTCATGGTAATCAGTTGGTGGATGTGTACAGTTTTTGTCTGTATACCACCAGTCCTCAATTTCTTAAAGTTATTTACCAAGGTGTCAGAGATTTTGTTTTAATAAGATTCAACAATAAAAGAAAGATAAAGCCTGTTTGCTGGCTATTATAATCAAGCTGTCAGTTACCTGGGAGTGTTTTTCACATTCCTCAAATGATCTGTCTACATTAGAACAAACCACACACCTTCTCCAACAGAACAGGCAGTTGGCAAGGTAAACAACACCAATACTGCCTTTAAAGTAAAACACTTCACCACCTTCCTCCACATACACAGCAGATGCTGTGTACAAGTGGAGATTTTGTGCAAGGTTTCCTAAAGCAGGGGAAGAGAATGGCTTAGTGGTAAGGTTATAACACTAGTAATTCTAAAGGTTCAGACTATTGTTTGGGATCATGAGCTCAAATCCCAGCGTAAACTGGTCTCAGTTTAAAATATTGCCAGTTGTTTGTGGGGGGGCATATGCTTCACTCAGGGAGAATTGAGGAGGAAATCTGCTGTCTTTATCTGGTCTGGCCTACATGTGACTCCAGATCCACAGAAATGTGGGTTACTTTTAACTGCATTCCGAAATGGCCCTTACAAAGCACTCAGTTCAAGAGCCATGGGGGTTGGCTACAAATGCTGACCTTGTCAGTCAGTGATGGCTACGAGAGAAATGTGGAAAAAACTTGACATCAGCATCAGTCATGGCCCTGAGCCACCAAACCATGGCTCATTAAACACTTGTTGTTCTTAGGCCATTAATAATTCAGTGCTGTCCTAGTAAACCGTATTCCAGCTGTTGATTGCTTGCTAGAGATACTGATTGTAAATAATCTAAGAACACAAGGAGGACGAGGCAGCATCTCCCCTGGAAGTCCCCTGCTGTGATAATAAGGAATCACTGCCCATGATTAACACTTCATTCAAACAACAAGTGTTAGTGATAGTCAGTAACTGAAAAGAAACTCTTGTGGTTCACTGACGAGGAATGGCGTTTTGTTAATGAGGTGATCTGAGACTATAATTTCGTCAGAGATAGGAAATGCCACTACACTGAACCCACCTTTGAATCTTTGCTGTTCTGTCAGGAGTTTAGCTTGCTTATGTTGCAGATGGATAGTTGACATTTTGTCTTGAAATGGAGGTATATCTGCAGAGCAATTATTGTTCAGTTACTGGAAGTGTCACCAGGGTTCTGTACATGTTAAAGGGTTGCAGTGGTCTCTGAAACTTTCCCACTTCAGCAGGCCCTGACCCTTGGGTTTGATACTTTTCATTTTGGTATCCTTGAGATCACATAATAACAAACTGCATTCATATAGCCCTTTTTAAGCACAGTAAAACTGTCCTGAAGTGTTTCACTGAAGCATTAACAGAGAAACTTGGGGAGCAACAACATAGTAGCATAGTAGTGATATCACCAGAGCTGGTAATCCAGAGGTCTAGGCTAATGATCCGCAGACATAAGTACAGATCCCATTATAGCATCTACTGGAATTTAAATTCAATTTCTTTAAATATCTGGAATTGAAAGCTAGCCTCAATAAGGATGACCATGGCAACAATTATTGTCATTAAAACCCATCTAGTTCACTAATGCCCATTAGGGAAGGAAATCTGCCATCCTTACCTGATCTGGTCCACAAGTGACTCCAGACCCATACCAATGTGGCTGACTCTTGAGCATCTTCAAAGGGCAATTGGGGATGGGCAACGAATCCTGGCCTTACGAGTAATGCTCACATCCCATGAATTAATTTGATTTAAAAACAAATGATTCCAAGTCAGGGGGTGAGAAACTAGGTAAAATGACCAAAAGCTTGGTCAAAAAGGCAGATTGCAAGAAATATAGAGGGAGTTCCAGATTCTAGAATGTAGGCAGGCAAAGGTATAGCTGCAGGGCTAGACAGAACAAAATCAGAGGTGTTCATGAGACTTGGAGGAATATCAAGATTCGGGAAGGTTCAACAGCTTAAGGAAGTACAGACATAGGGAGGTCCCAGGCCTTGGAGGGTTAAATACCTAGAAAATCACCAAACAATGCCATTTTACTCTTACAGTCACTTCAAACAACCAATTCTTGATCAAAGCAAATGCTTGGGTACATTGTGCCAGTGTGGTGCCCAACAGGAACTAACTGCTGCATGTTGGATGGTAAAACAAAATGGGGGCAGGGCGGTAGTCTCTACATACTCTGGTTGGCAAATCAAACTTCCTTCCTCTCAGTGAGATCTTGGCAACAGAAGCAACAAAGTCTGATTCAATAACTATAATAGCTAATCTCCGAGAGCTTGTGATTTCGAATAAACGTGTTGGACTATAACCTGATGTCGTGTGACTTCTGACTTTGTCCATCCCAGTCTAACACCGGCACCTCCACATCAAGATTCAATAGCAATACAAAGTAACATTGGGTTACCCACTGTAAAGTCATCACATTCTCTTACAATGCCTGTACTCGGTTAGACTGAAAGGTGTGGGAATGGGCGGGGATGAGAGTCAAAGTAATTAAATCCTTTCTATGGCTGCACTAAATGATATGGCTGTTACTAAATGATCGCAGGTGGTTAGGGTGAAGTTCTGCAGTTACATCATTCAATTATTTAACTCAAGAAGACAAGAAAAAGGAGCAGAAGTCCATTCAGCCCTTTAAGCCTGCTCTGACATTCAATCAGATCATGGCCTTAACTCCACTTTCCCATGTACAACTTAATAAACTGGGACTCTCTTGTCAATCAACAATCTGTCTAAGTCAGCGTTGAACATATTCAATGACTCAGTCTCCACTGTTCTCTGGGGAAAAGAATTCCAAAGGTGAATGACCTACAGGGAGAAAAAGAATTCACGTCATCTCCATCTTGAACACTGGAGACGACCTATGTATCAGCTCCAATGACTTCAGATCTCAACACACACCAAACACAAAGCCATTAGTCGAATGCCCACCCTTCAACATCTGCCCAGAGGCTGTAGGAATTGATTGTCAATCTCCAGGACACTGCAGTTTGCAAACCTGATGAAAAATCATTGATACATCAAAAAGATTGTTGGGTTTTTTTGTCATTGTCTTTGAACGTTTCTCCTTACTATATATAAAAGTATTGAAAATGGGAGAAATAGCTGTTGGCTGACTGTCAATCTTCATCCAGTTGCCTAATGAGTCCTTTTTGTTTTCTGATTGGTCTAGGAAGGCAGTCATGATGTGAGGATGGATGTATTAGACCATCAATTACTGAACTGGAGGTTGGGGGGTGGGGGGGTCCAAGGGCAAGTCGTGTGATGAAATCTCCAGGACTAATTTTAATCATTCTTGGTAACCCAAAAAGCCATTAGTCAATGAGTTCATTTTTGCTGATCAAATAAACATTGTTTTTTTTCTGGATTATTTACTTGCCTGTCTAAAGTCCCTTATGCTTCTCATGTCGTTGTCCTCGGAAGGCTCCTGCCCTCTGGTTTCTGACCTTTGACCGTCCAGCAGGAGCAATGAGGTTTACACGTTCCTTGCTAGTGTCACTGCTGCCCATTGATAGCAGATCAATGTGCAGCTGGTTCTGAGTGACAGTGAGAAATTCATAGTACAAAAAGTGGCAAGATGGTGGTATAATTGTGACGTCACTGGTCTGCAAATCCAGAGGCCGAGACCAATGCTGGGACATGGCAACAAATTCCCACTATACTGGTTGGTGGAATTTAAATTCATTTCATAAAATTTGGAGTTGAAAGCTAATCGTTGATAATGTCAACCATGAAATCATCGATTGTCATAAACACCCGTCAGGTTCACTAAGGTCGTCTAGGGAACGAAATCTCCCATCCTGACCTAATCTGGGCCCAGAATCACATAGAGGCCAGATTCAGTAAGAATGAAAGATGCCCTTCCTTAAAGTGTATTAGTGAAACCAATGGGGTTTTTTTTCACAACTTACAGTAGTTTTACAATCACTGTTGCTGAGGCCAGTTTTATTAATTGAATTTAAATGTCATCACTCGTAGTGATGGGATTTGAACCTGTGTCCCCAAATGGTTACAAAAACAGAAATTGCTAGAAAAGCTCAGCAGGTCTGGCAGCATCTGTGAAGAAAAAAATCAGAGTTAAGGTTTCAGGTCCGGTGACCCTTCCCCAGTCCTGACTGACCTGCTAAGCTTTTCCAGCAACTTCTGTTTTTGTTCCTGTTGTGCAGCATCCACAGTTCTTTTGGTTTTCCCCAAATAGTTAACCTGGGCTGGCTGGATTACTAATCCAGTAGCAGTAGCAGTATGCCACCATCTCCCCTCAAAGTTCAAACATGGGACCAATCGTTTTAAGATGCCCCTACACATTGCCACGCTAAAAGAACATGAAGCTCCGCAGATAAGTGGTGGAGATGGAGGACAACTTGTTAGGAGGTGTTGTCCACACACCAGCTTAACCTTCTCAATGTTCAATACTACCAGAACATCCAAGAATAAGAATAATGGGAGACAGTTAATCACAAACAAATGCTCTCCATCCTTCAACCCAAGAAATACTGTATAAAAGGACAACTGATGCACAATGTCATCAAGAAACAATTATTTTTAGAAACACATACGCTTATTTGGCAGCACATATTTCTTCAGTCAACATGCCAAACTGAGGCCTTTATCCTGTTTGCAGCCCAAGACCCAGAAATAAATACTCAGAATGGACAGTGTTAACCAGGAGTTTGATTTTCAACCTTCCTGAATAGGCCTATCCCTTTTTATTAGGCCTTCATCCTCAAATGTTGTCTTGATGAAACCCCATTTTTGATTTGTGTTGAATTGGCTTCATGGTCCTCTTCAAGTTAATGTTGGACGTATTTAGTCCATCATGGTGTAACCATCTTTTTTCCTGCTATTATTTTTGCTTTTTGACTCTCCTCTCCTGTCAGGCTATGGCCTAAGGCCCAGTCTTGAAACAACACACTCCTCAAAATGCTGCCCAGTGAGCATTAGAAAGTTCATCTAAAGACTCTCTGCCCCATAATCAGCTGCCCAGAATTTTTGAACCAGTTTGGGACGCAGCTGAATCATTTATTTTATGACGAAGGACAATGGGACATTTCTATTGTGAAGAGTGCTGTAAGCTTCAAGAGAATTATTGGTCCATGATTCAATGCTGCTTTCAAGGCCAAGAGATCAGGGCCTAGTGTAGAAGGTGACAATTAACAGTACTACATGGAGCAGGTTTCGGGACAAACCTGTTCGAAAAGACCCCTGGATTTATAAATTATAGGAATGTCGGTCATTTAAAAATATAAAAACACTGAAATGCAGTCTCCAACGTAGCTGGAGCTGGAATTCTGGAGCCTGGATCGACGTAGACATGAGTCAGACTGTCCAGTGTGGTCTGGCAGGAATTAGTGGACAACATTCTGAATAGAAAAAGACAAACAGAAAGCCTCTATTTTCACACATTAGACATGTGCTGAATATGTCCGTGCAGATATAATCCACCTGGAGGCTTATGAGTTGGTTCAACTTTGGCTCTAGATTTTGCTGGCACTGGACCGTCTTTGCTAAGCTGGACCTTCAACTGCACTTGCATGACTTCACAACCATGTTGGAGAGTTTCTCCACTTTGGGCTGCCGGCCCACATAATAGAGGATAGGCAGAGGTTCCAGGACGTGGGGGACACAGCAAGGGGATGCAGAGCCTCCAGGGTTGTGCAAGTTGTACAGAGCCAAGACCTGTAAAAGAAGTGGGGGGAGAGAGAGAGAGAGGTGGGAACCTCATTAGTTTTATATGCACAAGCACATTGGCAAGCATTGGCATGGACACTGCCAGGGCCAAGTGGCCTCCAACATGTGGCTGAATGGCCTTTATCTGTCCTGCAATGATTCTATGTAGGGAAGATGTTTCCAGTTGTGGAGAGACTACAAATAGTAGCCTTGAATGTCAACAGTAAATTCAATTGGGAATTCAGGACAAAATTCATCATGCAGAGAGTGGTGAGAATGTGGACCCACTCGCTTTGGGAGCGGCTGTGGTGAAGTAATATTGATGCTTTTAAGAGGACACTGGAGAGACATGGGGCAAAAGGAATAGATTGGTCAGAAGTATGTGTGGAGTATAAACAGCAACATGGACTAAATTGGTGAATGGCCTGTTTCCTTGAAACTATATTAATAACAAATGCAACTATCCTATCACATTGTTAACAAGCTGTCACGGCTGTAAGAGCACTGTGTGAAATACTTTTGGGCAGTCTCAGTCCTGATCTTAGTTCTCAGCTTTGTAAATAGTCTCGTATCTAACTCTGTGCTATACTTGACCTAGGAGTGTTTGATGAGGAGTAGTATCACCATCCAGCTCCACACCTTGTTGTCTCAGAGTTTGATGAGGACAGTGTAGAGAGTAACAAAAACAAAGTTGCTGGAAAAGCTCAGCAGGTCTGGTAGCATCTATGAAGGAACAAACAGAGTTAACGTTTCTGACCCGGTGACCCTTCCTCAGAACTGATGGTGGCTGGGAAAACGTCAGTTTATATGAAGAAAATATGGAGGTGGGTGGGCTAGGGCCCAAAGAGAAAGAAAAACAGTTGGACAGACAAAGGAGTTGCTAACAATCAAGCTGGGAGGGTGAATAGTTGTTAATGGGGACTGCTAGTGACTAACAATAGGGGGTGTGTAATGGCAGGCTATGTGATGACAAGGCCTGGTGTGTGGGGTAGGGGGCTGGGACATGGGAGAGTTTAGGCCCTAAAATTATTGAACCAGTGTAGAGAGTACATCACTCTATCTATCCCTATGTTGTCCATGTCCTGGGTATGTTTGATTGGGACAATGTAAAGAAAGGTTTAGCTTCAGTTTAAAACAATAGGGGATGTTTACTGTGTATCTAACCGTGCACTGTACTAGTCATAGAGTCATCTGGCACGGAAACAGGCCCTTCAGTCCAACTCATCTACACCAACCAGATATCCCAAACTGATCTAGTCCCATTTGCCAGCATCTGTTCATATACCCATCCAGATGCCTTCTAAATGTTGTAATTGTACCTGCTCCTCCACCACCTGTGGCAGCTTGTCCCATACATGCACCATGCGATACATGAAAAAGTTGCCCCTCAGGTCCCGTTTAAATTTTTCCCCTGTCATCTTAAACCTATGCCTTCTGGTTCTGGACTCCCCCATCCTCAGAAAAAGACCTTGGCTATTCACTCGATCCATGCCCCTCATGATTTTATAAAGCTCTACAAAGTCACCTTTCACCCTCCAACCCTCCAGGGAAAAAAGCCCCAACCTATTCAGCCTCTCTCTATAGCTCAAACCCTCCAATTCTGGCAACCTGCTTGTAAATCTCTTCTGAACCCTTTCAAGTTTAACAACATCTTTCCTATCCTCGGGGTGTTTGATGGGGACAATGTAGAGGGAGCTTTCCTTTCAGTTTAAAGGAATCGATACTACTGTTCCTGTCCTGACAGTGTTTGGTAAGATAGTGTAGAGGGAATTTTACACTGTATCCACCCTCATGTTGTCCCTATCCTGGGAGTGTTTGATGGCGACAGTGTAGAGGAAGCTTCACTCTGTATTTAACCTTTTGCTGTACATGTTCTGGGAGTTGGGCATAATTTTAAAATTAGAATTAGGACTCAATCAGGAAGCATTTCTTTGCATGTAGAGTAATAAGAATCCGGAACTCTGTCCCTCCAAAATCTGGGGCAATTGAAACCTTCAAGACTGATCCTGATAAATGTTGTCAGATCAGACAGTATATAACTACATGGGACAACAAGGTAAATGGAATGATAATGCAGATGAGCAATGATTTCTGTGGACAAAGTAACATGCTTGATTGTCTGAATGGCATTCTCCTGTTTCTGTGTAAAAGTCTATCAAAGCTGGTGCCTGGCAACAGAAAGAAGCTCCTGATCAGCTGGAAAACCCCAGCTCCAGCAGAAACAGAAGGCTGTTTGATTCGAAGAGACTACACTAGGGAAAGTCAAATACAATAATGATGTGTGAGGAAATTCCCAGGAATTTCAGTGTGGGGAAAGCCCCTTTATTATCTGCAGTATAAAGTTGGCGCACTTGTTAAATTTAGACATATTAGAGTTTACAAAGACCAATCTGTCATTACCGCTTTCAAATTTGACTTGAACCATTGCTAACATTTAACTTTCAGTTTCAACTCCCATCATTCAGCTTCTAACCCACATAAAAGCCACATGCACGCTAGATTTATGTAACTAATGGTCACAATATTCCTTTCAATACAAACAAAAATGTCTCTGTACAGTTGTATTCATGAGCCTGTGTCAGAGTATTTATGTTTGTCTCTAACTATGTAATTCGAAATATTAAAGATAAAAGGATAATTTGGGAAAATGCATTGGGATAGAATAGCCAAGAATAGCAGAGCAGATGTGATGGGCCAAATGAACTCAGCCTATTCCTATTTTTGATGTTCCAATGTATCAGTGTCTATGTGTGCCTCTGTGCCAGTGTATTCGCACATCTCTACTAGTGTATAAAGATAACCAGGTATAGAGCTGGATGAACACAGCAGGCCAAGCAGCATCAGAGGAGCAGGAAAGCTGATGTTCAGATTTTCTGAAGATGGGTCCAGACGCGAAACGTCAGCTTTCCTGCTCGTCTGATGCTGTTTGGCCTGCTGTGTTCATCCAGCTCTACTCCTTGTTATCTCAGATTCTCCAGCATCGGCAGTTCCTCCTATCTCTACTAATGTATACTTTTGCTTGTGCCAGTGGGCACAGATATCACTGTACCAGTGTGTACAAGTGGCTCTGTTCAGTGTGTACATGTGGCCCTGTGCCAGTGTGTACAGGTCTCTTTGACAGTGGGAACAGATGGCTCTGTGCCAGTGTGTACAGACTTTTGTGTATCCATCCCATCACACTCAAGGAGTATCATCATTCCACACTGAATCAAACCTGTTCTTTCCCCCAAAAGAGTTATAATCAAAAAAGGTTTTCAAACCCAAAGCTTTATCGAAATCAAAGCATTCAGCAGATTGAGCTTTCTGAGTAGCATAATTTTGAATATTCAAAATGGAAGTTAAGCAATAAGGAATTTCTCTTCACCTTAAGCCTTCTCTTTCAGATGCCTGGCTGCTCATTGCCTAACCCCTAGTCAGCTCTAATCAGCCTTCAAAATTTTATCTGCAAGTTTCAGAATGAGCCCGTCTTTCCTGTGCACAGCACTGGCCTGTTTGCAGAACCGATTCATTGCCTTCTGTCGCAGGATGAAGATGTCATATTGTCAATTAAAAATGCTGGGCATCAGTTAAATATTGTATTGTACCCATTTCATTCTCATCACCATCTGCAAGATGCACAAGGGCTTGGATTAGGTGCAGAGGAGGACCTCAGAATTAATTCCCAAATTTAAAATTGCTAGCTGAACCCAAAGACCTGAATCTGACATCAGGTGATTTCATTGAGACTTAAGATAATGACGAGACAACATTATGTTGGTATGGATAAATTTTTCAACTTAATAGTTGGAAAGGATTAGTGTAATATTTCTAAGTTGTGGAAGAGCAGAACCATGTGCATATTTTAAGTGGATGTTCAAAAATTATGTGGAAATAATTGAGGTCTATGAGATCACCTGGATCTAGCTGGAACTTTACTCTGTATCTAACCCATGTTGTACCTATTCTGGGAATGTTTGACAGAAGTGTCAAGGGAGTGTGTACTGAAACTGCTGCCATTAACTACACTAAAGACAGAACAAAACTGATCTAGTGAGCTGCTGTACAGTTGTATTTTGCAGGCAGAGAGAGATTGTTTGAGATGCTCCTGATACTTACAGTGCTGTACTGGGTGTCCGAGCTCCATATGTATGGACAGGGTCCCATGCAGAAGTTTGCATAGTAACCTTTGGGCTCATGGATCCACTTCCAGTTGAGATCCTTTCGGAAATCAATGTACATGCGCCGCACACAGCAGTTCTTCTCTTCAGCAGACCTATGATGGTGAATATTATGGAGGGTTTTAGTAAACGCTTCTCTCAGTTTCTCCTCCAGATCACCTGTGTGGTCGGAGAGTGATAGACTGTCCACACCCAAAAAATCTCACCTCCTGCCTCTCTCTGCAACTTCCACCAACCCTACAACCCTCCAAGATCTCTGCACTCTGCCTTTGCTGACACTTTGTGCATCTTCAGTTTTCATTGCTCCACCATTGCTTTAGAGGAGGTGGTGGTGCAGTAGTCGTAATGTTACTAGATTAGTAATGTAGAACCCTAAGCTCATGTTCTAGGAACATGGGTTCAAATTCCATCATGGCAGATGATGAATCTTAACTCAATAAAATTCTGGAATGAAAAGCAGGTCTAATAGAGACTACATTGCTACTATTTTTTTCTCCCTCAGAGAGAGTAAGAACTGCAGATGCTGAAGTCAGAGATAACACAGTATGAAGCTGGAGGAACACAGCAGGCCAGGCAGCATCAGAGGAGCAGGAAAGTTGGCATTTCGGGTCAGGAACCTTCTTCAGAAATGGGGAAGGGGAAGGGAGCTCAGAAATAAATAGAGAGGAGGGGTGGGGCTGGAGAAGGTAGGTAGTGGTGGGGATTGGTCAGTGAGGTGGGAGGAGCAGATAGGTGGGAGAGAAGATGGACAGGTTGTGTCAGGTCAAGGAGGCGGGGATGAGAGGGAGGGTTGGTCATTGGATGAGGCCAGGGGTGGGGAGATTTTGAAACTGGTAATATCCACATTTAGGCCATTTGGCTGTAGGCTTCAAGGCGGAATATGAGGTGCTGCTCCTCCAGTTTACAGGTGGCGTCATTGTGACACTGGAGGAAGCCCAGGATGGACATACCACCCAGGGAGTGGGAGGGGACGTTGAAATGGTTCGCAACTGGTAGGTATTGTCGTTTGTTGCAAACAGAGCACAGGTGCTCTACAAAGCAGCCTCCGAGCCTCCGCTTGGTCTCACCGATGTAGAGGAGGCCACATCAGGAGCAGATGCAATAGACCACATTGACAGATGTACAGGTGAACCTCTGTCTAATGTGTAAGGTTTGTTTGGTGCCTTGAATGGAGGTGAGGGGGGAGGTGTAGGGGCAGGTGTAGCACTTCCTGTGGTTGCAGAGAAAGGTGTCAGGGGTGGTGGGGCTAGTGGAGCAGACAACGGAGTCGCAGAGAAAGCAGAACCTATGAAAGGCAGATAGTGGTGGAGAGGGAAATATATCTTTGGTTGTGGGATCAGATTGTAGGTGGCGGAAGTGGCGGAGAATGATACGTTGGATACGGAGGTTGGTGGGATGATATGTGAGGACAGGGGGGATTCTGTCTTTGTTTTTGTTGGGGCAAGGGGATGTGAGGGCAGAGTTGGGGAAACGCAAGAGATGCGGTTGAGAGCATGCTTGACCACTGAAGCGGGGGAAGTTGCGGTCCTTGAAATAAGACGACATCTGGGATGTTCAAGAGTGGTCCTTGAAATAAGAGGACATCTGGGATGTTTGGGAGTGGCCTTGAAATAAGAGGGCATCTGGAATGTTTGGGAGTGGCTTGAAATCTTCCTATTCATTTGTGGGATGTGGGCATTGGCTGGCTGGCCAGCATTTATTGCTTGTCCCTAATTGCCCTTGAGATGAGCTGCCTTCTTGAACTGCTGCAGTCCACCTGCTGTAGGTTGACCTATAATGCCTTTAGGGAGAGAATTCCAGGATTTTGACCCGTGACAATGAAGGAACGGCAATATATTTCCAAGTCAGGATGGTGAGTAGCTTGGAGGGGAACCTGAAGGTGGTAATGTTCCCATATATCTGCTGCCCTTGTCCTTCTAGATGGAAGTGGTCGTGTGTTTGGAAGGTGTGGTCTGAGGATCTTTGGTGAATTTCTGCAGTGCATCTTGTAGATAGCACACAGTGCTGCTGAGCATCGGTAGTGGAGGGAGTGGATGCTTGTGGTTGTAGTGCCAATCAAGCGGACTGCTTTGTCCTGGATGGTGTCAAGCTTCTTGAGTGTTGTTGGGGCTACACTCATCCAGGCAAGTATTCCGTCACACTCCCGACTTGTGCCTTGTAGATGGTGGACAGGCTTTAAGAAGTCAGAAAGTGAGTTACTATTGATTGTTGTAGAAGCCCATCTGGTTCACTAATGCTCTTTAGGGAAGGAAATCTGCTGTCCTGACCCAGTCTGGCCCTACATGGGACTTCAAACCCTCAGCAATGTCGTTGACTCTTCACAATGAAAGCTGGACTAGGCAGCAATATACATATTCCATGAATTGAATAAAAAAAACACTGCCTTCGGTGGCCTGGAGTCTAAACTTGGGATTCTGACCTGCCCGTGCTCCTTCTTTCTTTTTCTGTCCACCTTGAGAGTCTAGTCACTTATACTAATTTCTCCAAGTGTAGCATGTTGCGAAGGGTCTAGGCCCGAAACGTCAGCCTTCCTGCTCCTCTGATGCTGCTTGGCCTGCTGTGTTCATCCAGCTCTACACCTTGTTATCTCACATTGCAATGAAGTTCCTTCGAGAATTTGTACTACACCAAAGCAGCTGTATAAATGCGAATTTTTGTTGTACTTACCAGTTGGCCCCTCTTTAACTCAGGTGCCAACTGTGGTCCTCAATTTGAGGCTTAGATCAGCTAATTGTGGGATCTGGAACTCTCGCTCCCAAAAGGCTTTGTACAGGAGGGAGAAGGGGGACAGAAAGATCAAATCCAATTTTCAAGCATGAGACTTTTTCTTTAAAATGGTGGGCAACAGTCTCAAGGGATTACAGAGTCACAGACAGAGAAACACATCAGATACAATCCAGTTCACTCTCAGAACAGGATCAAGGGGCTGACTGGCCTCCTGCAGCTCCAGGATCAGCAGAAGCTAGGGACTGGAGCCATGGCCTTGGCCTTCTGCCGGGCTTGAATGCACCATCACGACCAGGAGGTGGCCACCATTGTTTGGACAGTTAAAGGGACACCTACGCGAAGCAGTAGTCTGTGTCGAGGTCCCGTTTTCTCCTACTGTGAGTCTCAGCCCTGGTCGAAGGAGTGGACATGATGAGGATGTGTGCCATCTTCCGGTTCCGCTTTGCCAAGGCCTGCAAGTCCCCCCGTGGTGACTCTGTCAAACAGAAGAAGATGATGGAATCCTGAGAGATCACACATCCTGCCCTATCCCCATCTCAATTTCTATTCCCATCCCAATTTCTATTCCCATTCCCTATCCTCGTCCCCATTCCCATCCTCCTCCCTCATCCCTGATTCCATTCCCAACCCTTTTCCCATTCCTATTCTCATTCCAATCCCCATTCCTATTCCTCATTCCCATTTGTGTAATTTAACCCCTTTCACTTCCTGGAGTTCCAGTTGCTCTGCCCCACCCACCCCTGCCCCAATAATTAATGCACCAACATGAAACACAAATGGATTTAAATCAAAAATCAATTCTGCATCAAGCCTCATTTTTAAAAGTTAGATATTTTTCAAAAATGTTGACAACTTGTATACAATAACAAGTAGCTGGGAATGAGCTACAGAAAGGAGTCTATTCAGAGGGGATTTATATATAAAATAACTGATACCCAGGAGTGAGTTACAGACTGAAGTCTAATTAAGGATTTAATGGCTTTATGTAACAGGTACCTGGGAGGGAGTTGCAGACTGAAATTTAATTGACAGATTCAGGTTTATTATAGAACAGATATCCAGGAGGGAGTTGCAGACTGGAATCTAATTGACGGGTTCAGGTTTATTATAGAATAACAGATATCCAGGAATGAATTACAGACCAAAATCTAATTGAGGGTTTCAGAAGGTTTGTTATAGAATAACAGATAAGGAGGAGTGAGGTTAACTACTGAGATCTAATCAAGAGGATTTGAGTAGGGGTAGGGATTGGGATTTGAGGCACAGAATAACAAGCACCTCTCTACATTGTACCCATTAAATCACCCTCTACAACCTCCGTCTCACTCACTCTCACACACACATCCGCGCGTAATGAATCAACCTCAACAGCTAGGCCATGCTCACTATGTCAGGAAGACGACAACAGCTTATTGGAAAAGTAAAATAATCCATATTATCAGGGACAAAGCTGTATTACAGATAGATGGTCTTATTACCATAGAATTTCAGTTGAAGACTTTGCTTCAGGTTGGAAGCCTCACAGGGGCAGTGGACGCTTATCTTCAGCTGTTGGTCAGTCTCTGCAAGGAAAGACAGGGTGAGGAAGGAGGCAATTGTTTGCTGTGTAGAGACAGTAAAATTCATTGGATAAAAAGATTTTATTTGGGTCACAAGTACACGATGAAAATTATTGCAGCATAGCCAACAGCATAACCGATTGAGGTGTTTCACAATCAATCCCGCTACAATTTAGGGCAAATAGGGTGTCAGCTGAAAAGTTGCATCTGTGACAGTGCAGCAGTCCCTCAATACTGCACTGGAGTGGGGGCTATCATTCAATTCTGATCTGATAATCTGCTCCTGTAGACCTTTCGCATTTAGTTGTAAACTCTTGAATCTACAAAAGGGCCACTGGTTGATTTGTGGGTTCGGAATATTTAAATTTAAAGTAATATGGTTGGAAAGAATGTTCATCACACAGTCTGTAGCTGCCCTGAGCAGATGGAAACTTCTAGTTCAATGACAGGATTTCTAACATTCTATGGGAAGCAGAAATCCCAGGAATGAAACAAGAATTAATTAGCATTATTGATGCACACAAACCACAGAATATATTAACTCACAAGTTTGGCTTGGATTTGGAAGACAGCAAACTCCCAAGCCAATATCCTCATCTGCGCTTGGAAGTGAACATAAGACTAGGAGAAATAGCAGCAAGAGGCCATTCGGCCCCTCAAGTCAACTCCCCCAATCAATGTGATTATAGCTGATCTCCTACTTCAACACTTTTTCTGCACTTTCCCATATCCCTAGATATCTTTAATATCTAGAAATCTATCTATCTTTATTTTGAACATACTCAATAATGGAGCCTCTGCAGGTCTCTGAGGTGGAGAATTCAAAAGATTCACTATCTTAAAATGAACAAATTCCTCTTTATCTCAGTCCTAAATGGCCTACCCCTTATTCTGAGACTGTGGCCTCTGTTGCTAGCCACCCTGAGAATATTGGCCGAGTCTATTTAGTCTTCCCTCATCAGACAACAGCTTCATTCCATATTGAGTTTGGTGAACTTTCATGAAGGTGCTGTGGAATACATGGATCATTAAGTGTAGCATCACACCCCTCAATGGCATCTCTTTATAGCTAGCCCCTCAGTCCTGGAACCATTCTGGTAAATCCTTTCTGAACGTGGTCTAACTACTTCACACTCTGTCTAAAGTATGGGGCTCAGAATTCTTCATCCGATGTTGGAGACCAAACCTGACCCTTTTTTTCCCAAATTTAAAACTCATTCTTCAGGTGCAAAGAGACAATTTATTTATTTTGCCTGATTCCCAGGTGTGCCACCTCCTTCAAATGGCTACAGTTGTGGTTTACAACTGAATAGTTTGCTAAGACACTTCCAAGGACAGTCCAGAATTAATCCTGATGTCATGAGACAGAAGTTACACATAAAATCAAGCATGGTAACAATGGAAAACTTCTTCCTAATGGACATCAGTGAACCAGTGGATTTTTGTTTTGAATGACAAACCAACAGCACCATGATTATGTTTATTGTTACCTGTGTTTTATCTATAAATTATACAAAATTATGTTTAAATCATTAATCTGATTTCAAATGGACTGATACATCAGTGACATAACCAATAATCCACCATATCCTGTCATTGATTACCACAGAGTAAAGCCTCCACCACACTATTAAATGCCCAATTTCACCACAAGTTCCCTCTACATTGTCTGATCGAACAACCCCACTGCAGAGACAATGCAGGGTTAAATACAGAGTAAATCTTCCTCTACGTGGTCCTCATCGAATATTCCCACACAGGTACGGCATTGGGTTAGATACAGAGTAAAGCTCCGTCTAAATTGTCCCTATCAAACACTCCCAGGACAGGGACAGCACAGGTTAGATATAGTGTAAAGCTCTCTCTATTCTGCTGATTTCCTCAATCTCAGAGGTACACCCCACATTGAACTTAATGTTAATGTGCTATGCCGGTCTTTCTTATTCTAGGGGAGATGTTGGTATGTTGTCAATTTGTAGCTAAGTACAGGCAACCCATGACTATGATGCATTAAAACTTTTCAAACCCATTTCATGCTTGATCCACAGGATCAATGACTTTTTCTGGACTGAAATCTAGTGACTACTCTGTTTAAGAAAAAAAAATCATAATATCAAGTGAAAGCAGATTCTTCCTCCTATAAGTGTCTAGGGTATGCTAAATATTTAGGAGCCTAGGCAGTGTAGTAAGTCAACTATGTGCTAAATACTACTTGATAACTGTGATTTACCTTAAAATAAATACATTTGTCAACAAGTGTTTCAGCATGTGCCACGGTCATGAAATATACAATATGAACATAAGTCTCCCCCTTTTACTCTCTCTGGAAATTGATTTCATCTATGTCTCCTCATACCTTTATTCAGCAGCCATTCTTTCACTGTCTCTGTCACATCGAACGAGATCCACTCTTCTTCTCCCTTGGTTTTCAGCAGGCGGTTGTCTAGGTATGTGTTGCCATGTGAACCAACCTGAGATAAACAGTACATATGCATCAAGAATAGTCTTGTCTGTGGCTTAAAGCCCATACAACCCCATTGTCACCCTGATACCAAATAAACTCAGTAAACAATGGGAGTTGGTGGCAAAATGGTGATGTTACAGTCTAGTCATCAGAGATACATAGGTTCACATTCCACCAGAGGAGAATTTAAATTGAATTACTTAATAATTATAATTACTACAGATCTGAAATATAAAGTTAAACTCAGTAATAGTGCCATGAAGCCACAACTGATTATGATAAAAACCCAGAGATAGTAGGAACTGCAGATGCTGGAGAATCTGAGATAACAAGGTGTAGAGCTGGATGAACACAGCAGGCCAAGCAGCATCAGG